ATTACAAGCATGATAACATCTTGTATTCACCCTTTAAATGTAACTTTAAACAACAGAAATACCCTAATGGCTGTATCAAGAAACAAAGGACAGATGCTTTCTTGAATGAATGGAACCGTCCCAATACCCAATACCCAATACCCAATACCCTTGTCAAACAAACTGACCAAAACTAACCCACATCCAATAATGTTGAAAGAACCGTCACCATGAACACACACAAGTTTCGAATTTTGTGCACCCATTCCACTTCGTGGGCTTCTTTAGTGGCTTACAAAGCTCTGATCTTTGTGCCTGGAAAGTATGAAAGGCTTGTTTTTGCCAATTGATAATCATCTTCTATTTGATGTGAGAGAGATGAAGGGGAAATCTTATTCTGGCCTTGATTTCCTTGTGGTCAAGTAACATTATTCCTTTGACTTTCAAGTACAGATCCCTCCTTAAGAGGTGTTTGTGCCTCATTCTTCTTTCCTAGTGCCAAAAGAGCAGCAGCTTGTAAGTAGGATGCAATATGCCAAACAGGAGATATCACCTGAGCTTGCAAAGCATCACTTAGGGCTTCCTGTGGCAAGTCACTCATTAGATAAGACAGGCTACGGCGAGCATATACAGTTGGAGAAACCATGGTTCCAACATCAATGAACTGCAGCATGTATGTGTATACCGTCAGTTTAAGCATCCAGTTATCCTCAAAACCCACAGACATTTATGCTTTTAATAATCTAACCTGGGTGTAACATTCAATGGCAGCTTTGAAATCATTATGCCTAAAAGCTGCATCCCCCTTTTTCTTTGAATTTATAGTTTCTTGCAACTGGTCAGTCCACATCTGGAAAGAAAGCTGCATTGAGAAAACAAAATGTTCAGCTCAGCCACAAACACAAATTCAGAGATTATACAGATGTAAGTGTAGCCAGATCTTGATGAATTTTTGCATTCTTTTTTTATCACCAAAATTAAAAGTTAAAAGGGTCGGATCATCACAATTGCTTGAAGAGAACTATTATTGAAGATTTCAATTGGCAGCTCTCAAGTATGATATGGTATTGCTTCCCAGTTGACATGTAAGTTGTTCAATTTTCTGACAAATGAGAAACAAACCTCAGCTGCACCTTCATCATCCTCATACCCAGTCTTTTCTAGGATCTCATGTATGGCAGTCAAATCCATTCTTAAGCAGGCCTCACCAAATGGGGATAAAGGTAAGGCTTCAGAAGCATTCTGCAAACCCATTAATATGGGAGAAGGAACCTGCCAGATAAATTAGCAAAAGCTCAGTCCTGTTAGTGAAGAAGCGTTATTCAACTTTAAAGTGAACCAGCATTGATCACACAGCACTCATAAAAATGGCATACAACATGTATAATTGAATTTATGATATGTTATTTCAGTATGCACAAAAAAATTCATTACGTGGATGAGCATCTGTGTCATTCTCCATTATATGTAAATAGCTATTTCAGAAACAAAAGACAAGCAACCTCAGTTTCCCTCTGAAGAGGAATTAGTGCAGCTACTAATGACTTTGGATTTGGCCGCTCTCGAGGTTCATATTCCAAACAACGTGATGCTAAACGCACTAACTCAGTCCCATCATCATTTGAAAATTGGCCTTCCAAACAAGAATCTGTTAGCATCTGAATATTCCTGTCACGTATAAGGTCAACTGCCTGAACAAATGAGATTCCATGTTAGATGTACAGAATATTATCAGATGTGAAGGACAACCAAGCAACAAAACAAAAATGAAAAATCATTTGGTCAACAGTTGACATCCTGATCAACAAGAACGACCTAAGAAATTACTTTTCCATTAATTAATCTTACACAAATCTACAAGAGGAACCAACTTAATTAAGCAATCAAGGTACTGTGTTGAATACATAAGGGATAGTGCCATTCGCTAAAAAGAACTTACATGGCTTGGAGGAATATGTTTTCCACTGAGAAGATCAAGCAAAAGGGTCCCAAAACTATATATTACACTTTCTGGCGTTACTCTTCCTACAATACAAATAATTTAGTACATAAACAACACAAAATTGGATGTGCACACTGCACCCTACAAAATTCATTGAGACAACCAAAAAGGTGAGGATCAAGAACACCAACAAATTTGTCACACAAATAAAGGTTAAGTGGTGACTATGCAGTTAAATACAATTGGAGGGCAGAATCATAATACAAAATGGTTTTTCACAGTATTTCTTAAGAATACTACACTCTCTAATAAAGGTTACAGATTGTGAAGTTTGGCTAAATAAGTACTGAAAGGATAGAAAGTAACAGCAAAGAACATCAGGGGTACTATTGGATAAGTACTAAACAACAAAGATCACAAATACATCCATCAATAACTCCAATAGATAATTAGCAAATATAGATTGGTATACAGGTAGACAAACATTATCCCTTTTCAAGAGGCAAGTACCTGTTCTCAGATACTCAGGAGGAGTAAACGCCAGGTTTGTACTGTAACTTTTTCCGTCTCTACTGTTCTTCATAAGACCAAAGCATGACAATTTGGGATTGCCCTCCTGAAGATGTAAAGTGTATAGTCAACTAAATTCACCATGATTTAGAACAATGAAAAGAACAAGAAGTTAAAGACACAGTGAACTTACATCATCAAAAACAATTCTATAAGCATTAAGATCATGATAGAGTGCACGTCCTTTGCTGGTACAGTATTCTAGAGCTTGTGCAATATGCAAAGCTACCCTTAGTCGCATTGCCCATTGCATTGGCTGTGTTTCCCCTGAAAACACAAAAATTAAGATAACAATGGTAAATGTCCAACAAGTCTCATGCAAAAAATTCTGCTGGACAGAAAGATGGAAAACAGAAACTAAATAGCAGCTGGAATAGAAACCTAATAAGCCTCCAAAATCAACTCAAAGCACAAACCATGACAAGTAAAAAGAATGTGTTAGGACTGATTTTGAGAGTCTTATTTTTCATCCAACCATATAGATCTGCATTTCAAATAATGTAAATCAAGGTGAACTTAATGCTAAAACTGATGTGAGGAAACCCAAGATGAACCTACAGTGAAAAAGGTGCTTGGCCAATGTGTCATTGGGCATAAATTCTGCAACAAGCAACCTCTCATCACCTTCACAGCAACAACCAAGTAAGTTTGTCAATCTGTTGTTCCGAAGCTGACCAACAGCTTTTGCTTCTTCCTAAAGTTAGAAGAGTGAAGTTAAAAAGCAACAAAATTAATATTTCAAAGGCAAGGATATTGCCATGCAACAGCCATTGAAACAAGCAAACTTAAGTAAGTTTTAAGGCAAACTGGAGCATATATATATTTTTTCCATTTGCCATCAGATTTCAGGCATTTGGGGTGAACGTGAGGAGTTTAAGGGTGTCACCAACCAGAAAATGTAAAGAAAAAGGCATAGACCTACCAAGAACTGTTGGGCATCAGGCCATGCAGATCTATTAAAACGCTTAACAGCAATCAGCCTTTGATTTTCCAACTTCCCCTTGTAAACCACATTTGGAGCCTTTTCTCCATGTTCAGAAACAATGTTCTCTACAGCAAATCCAGATGTAGCCATCTTGAGAGTCTCTATAGAGTATTCACAGAACAGAGGCAGGTCATCAACCTCGCTCTTCTCCACGTTTTCTACAAACAACATGCTGAAACTTTTAAAACCAATGACCTACAAGAAGAATCAATAACCAATAAACTCTACCAAAAACACTTACCAGCGTCATGGGCCTGGGAAATTGATTTGTTTTGACCTGAGCCCCAACAACAGGCTATTAAGTTGGAACAACAACAGGCTGTTAAGTTGGCACAACAACAGGCTGTTAAGTTGGAACAACAACAGCCCATCACAGCACTGAAAATCAATTCCTCAAACAATATAAAGTCTTTCTAGCTCCAGCACCAAACTTCTGGTGAAGCTTGAGATGATCACTCAGCTTAGCAAACATAAGCCATCAAGTAATTTTCCATGGGTTTTAAAACATGCAGCAAAGCTCACAATACCCATATCAAACTACTTCAAAATCACTAAGTTGACTATTTAAAGCAAACTCCAATCCACCTGTAAAAAGTAACAACTGGATTCAAGCATTCCACTTGAAAATACCCAGTAAGCTATGAAAGAAGTTAACAATAAGAATCTCAGATGTCCCATCATTTTACGCTCCAATAAAACCAAAATTCAGAATCAAATCCAGGTAAATAAGATTGTGTCCATTAATTTTAAAATAATACTAAATGGAAGTATCAAGACCCCATTTTGAACAACCCCTTCTTTACCACAACTTTCTCAGCAACCAAACAAGAGCTAAAAGGAAAAAATGGAGCATAAAGCTTTACAAAAAAATACCTTCAGCAGTTAGCGTCCTATGAAGTCAACTCACCACCTCAGTGAATGAAACCTCCACACATATTAGTTTCTCTGCAACAAATTCAGCCGTTAACTCAAAACGATTCCATCAATCAAATCAAAGAACCAAAAAAAGGACCAGAAAGTAACGGATAACCAGTTAAAAACCAAGAACCTGAATGTGCCAAATTGATTTCGGAACGTTTAATGCAAAATGATACTGGGTTTTCTTCTCCTCTTCTTCCTTTCCCCCAGTTGAGATTTTTTTCAAGTAATGGAAATGTTCTCAGAGTCAGGGATCGTCTTAGACTGTTCTTCCTTTTCCCTGAGCTTTCCCTGAAAATGAGAATTCTCAGGTAGCTTTGAGATTCGGATTAAAGCTTTTGTAGTTTTGGCAAAAAACTATATAACAAATCTATCGTGGATTTTTCATGATAGCTGATCTTGTATTATTTATTTATTTATTTTTTAAAATATTGTATTATTTATACTGCATAATATTTATTAATAAAATCAAAATCTTTATTATTTAATGATTTTTTTTTTTTTTCTAAATCTTCTGCTAGAATGCTAGAGTCTTTTGTTTTTAAGTTTCTAATATTACTAAGCACGTCTTCTATTAATCATTAAAATGTGTAATCCATATAAAAAAACATTTTACAATATAAATTATAGAAAAAAATACATATTAATTTTGACTTTAAAAAATAATTGAAATTTTAACTTTAAACTCATTTTATTTAATTAAAATTCAATTTAAAGTTTAAAAAATTATCTTATTAAATATTAATATATTTAAATATATAATAGGTTTTTAAATTTAAATATTAATGTTTAATAAAATAAATTTTTTCTTAAATTGAGATTTAAATTATTTTTAAAAATCGAGACGAATACATATTAATCTTTATATTACATATTAAAAATATAATATATTTTATAAATTTATTTAAATATTTTTAATAAAATATTTTTTATTATTTTATTAAAAATATTTAAATAATTTGATAAGATAAATAACACTTTTAATATACAATTTACTTAAAAATTTGAATCTCTTATAATATTTATAATTATTTAATTAAAAAATATGTATTTTTAAGATATATTTATTCATATTAAATTTTACTTTTGATAATATTTTGGAAGTGATTGAAGGGCTTTTATAGGGACTTCCGTACGATTGTGCTTGCTAATAAAAATTGTATAAATACAAGACAAGTATTGCTTCTTTTTTTTCTTTTTTTCTTTTTTGACCTTTTTTGAGCTTAGGAACAACTAATAACTTTAGCAGTAATATTGAAATCTTAATCTCGAGGTCCTAATTCGAATACATAGGCATAAACATTTTTGTTAAAAAATGTATAGAATTTAGATTTAGAGAAGAAGATGGATGAACCATGAATACGAAAATGCTATGCGTAAACCCAGATTGTGTATCCCATAAATTAAATCTCCAAATCAATACAAGCACGTAAGTGTCAAATAAAGATATATCTATTCAAGTTGTGCACGTAAGTATAATTAATCGTCTTAATTATTAATTAAAGGGTATCTTACTTTGGGTGTAGGGTTTAATTTTTATTCCTTCTCTAATTTTTATTACTTCTCACATTTTTCCGTTGTGGTTGTGGTTGTGGTCACTACTGTTTAAAAGGACAATCGATGGATTATATCCTTATTCAGGTTTAATATCTCTTATTAATAATTTTAACAATATTAACTTCTAATCATTGTCCTTATAAAAAAAAAAAAAAGAGTATAATTAATCGTCTAATACATGAGTGAACGCCGCTTGTATCCCATAAAATCTCTAACTCAAAGTAAATAAATAAAACATAATCTATTTGACAAAAGAGTAGAAAAGCAAAAAAGAAAAGAAATGAAAACAACATATTTTAGATGTAGGGTAGAGTGTTATCTTCAACAAGGTGACATAGTGATCATATAGGACTGCACGTAGTGGGTGATTATGCATATATCACACCCATTAAATGTGCCCTTATCTGTGGGGTATTAATTTCTAACAAGTGTTGGTTGCCAGCTTAATACTCACCACAATAAAATAAATAAAGAAAGATAAAA